CTTGCAATGTTAAGGCTAAATGCAGCTATACAGCCACATTACAAGTGTATCAGCCTCTTAGGTATAGCCACCAGCAATGGTCACATGTTTTGGGAATATCATACAAGTTATCAGAGGAAAACACACCATTCCCACCTCAGCTGTTATAACAGAAAGTGCAACATCCTGCAACCAGGGCATTGTTCAGGGCTACAACTCCAAGCTTTCTCCATCCTTGCTGGTACAATAGGCACTCCCTCAACTTCCTCCTCTTTTATCAGTGGACAGATGCTTCATCTCCAGATCAATGGGCTGGTGATTCTTTCATCAACATAAAAAGTGGAGCAATTTATTGGTTCAAAGATTTTACTTTCTCAAATTTATCAATTCCCTTGAATCCCTGAGCTGTTAACTGAATAACTGGTATCTGTCAGTTCTAACATACAAGCATCAAGAGTCAAAGACATAAAGTTATAGTATCCAGCTCTATAACTTAAGTATTTAAAAATGAGATTAAAATCTATGCATGATATATACATATATCACTTCCCCACACAGCTGCTGAAATTCTATGATATCCAGCAACAAATGATGAAATAGTATTGTTCATTCTAATGGATACAGTCTCATCTCCAAATGTAAGAATTTACACACATCAATATAATTAATGTTAATGGCAACCATAAATATAAATCTTCTGAATATCGAAAGGGATTAGGCTGTTAAAATGACCAACTGCCTTCCCAAACAAACACTACACAAAACATTAGTACATAGAAGTTGTATTTCCACTGGAATAATTTTTCTATGTGGCCTGCTGACACTTTCATTATTTGGAAAATAACAGGTTAAGTAGGGAACAGCCTATTTTACACTAGCCATAACTGGGTAAACTATACACTTCTAAATCAGGACCCACAGAATGATCACTGTGCAGAGGAGCCCAAGGATAAACACATGAAATGAGACTGTCAAAGTCATGAAGGGACTTAGTAACACGCTTTCCATCAACCACCCCTTCACCACTTTGAAAATCCTATTCACCATCACTGTATTTAGATTTTTTTGTGTTTATCTATATATTCCTATGTCCCAAAAACTTCCACTTATTGTTAAGTGTTGAAAAAACATTCTCCTGCAAAGGTAGTTTCTCAGAAACACATTTTCAAAGCAGCATGAAGGTTTTCACTGTGTGACATTTATTAACACCAATTGGATTCACACAGCTAAATCTAGCTGCAATTCATTGTCAATTTACCCCTTCCAGAATTTAATATTTCTTGAATTTGTTTTATTTGCCAAACATTCTCATCTTTCAGTGTTTTATGGCACAGTGTCTGCAATAGCACAGGCACAATCTCTGCCAGCTGGTTTAATTTTCTAGTACAGACAAGGCCAATGTCTCAGACTTCTGGAGGCATCAGTAAGAATTATGGCTGTAATCCAAAGGATTCCTATATCCTGATGATATATTTCCCCAATGTATACATAGCTCCTAATAATCCTAATGACATATTTATGCACAAAAAGGTACACACACACTGCATTGTTCTTTGCTCAGACACCTTTGGCAATGACATATGACAATGCTTCAGTCAAGAAGCGCAAAACAATGAAAGATCAAGGAGGGCCGGTGGGGCAAGATGGTGGTGGGGCAGTTCTCACACAAAATTTCCTTGGCTTTCAGAAGCAGAATCCACCTGAAGGGGTACAATAAAACCCTGGAAGTGACTAGGAGCTTTTCCTGAACTTGTGCCACCTGCACTTCCATCTCAATGGTTTTTTTCCATTATTTTTTCTATGTTACACATAATGATATGGATTTTCATTTACAAATGAAGTTATTATTAAATGATAGAAGACTATTTACAGACTGTCCTTAGGATTACTGAATGAAACATTTAATTGTGAAAAAGTAAAAGGTGTCAGCCAAAAACTTCCACTTTCATGGATTAAAGCATAACTGAAAATCACTGTTATTGCCATTTTATGTCAAAAATCCCCTGACAAACAGCACAGAAAATTACAAGAAAATCATCTTGCAGTTAACACACTTAGCGGGTTAACATTAAAAAAATGGCATTTTATTCACAGTAATGCAGTAACAGTTTTCCTCTTCACTTTTTCCTCGACTATTTCTATGTTGCTGAGATAAAGAAGGCAAAATCTAGAGAAGACTAAAGTCTTAAAGAATGAAGAAACTGTGCCTTAAAGACACTGAACAGTGCACTCTTCTTTAGAACAAGAAGCAAATCTTGTTTATGCATATGTCTCCAGGGATTTGGCTTTTTTACTTTCCATCTTATACAGAAGAGAATCTACATAGCACACGTGCTATGAAAGGTGTTGCCAGTTATATTTCATTAGATACTTCTTTCTCAGGTAATATCTAAAGTTAATCCTAAGGCTAAGCCTGAGTTGTTGCCCTTCTCAGACATGACCAGAACACAACTAACATCAACAATTTCTTTTAAAATATGTGCCCATATGTTTCCTTTTTAAAGTTTTTCCTCAAATCATATAAATCATCAGTACCTCTGAAATTCTAAAAGCTAGCACTATAAGTGCTTGGATTTTGCAAGATTTAATCTAAATTTTGTCTACAATCACCTCTCCATAAGTGTATGCAAAGTGGATGTAAAATAAATCTCAATGAGAATAATTCTAGGGATGCAGTTTTGCTGCATATGTTTTATATTCATCACCTCTAAGATGTTAGAAAATTATTTAAACTCTATATGGTGTTAACTTCTACATATATATAAACTGAACACTACCACCAGTGAGATCATGGACAGCATCTGAGCTTTAAGTTCATGTGTTGTGGCTCAGGAATGATTCTCCCAGTGATACTTCCCAGATCATGCTGCCACTCTCTCCTCCCTCAACTCCTTCTTCCTTCCCGGTGCAGGTGCCTGGAGAGCAGAATTCGAGGCACAGAAAGCAAAGATCATGGGTTGAGAGAAGAACAATTTACTGGAAACAGCAATGAGATAAGAAAAGGAGCAGCAACATCAACAATATTGATACCAAAAGCATGCTAAAGGGATGGAAAATGCTCATCCCAGCCATGCAGCCAAACTCCCCCTGGCTTGGAACCAGGGCCACCCCACTGCTCTCTCCAGCTTGGGACTGGTGCCACACTACCTCAAACAGAAGGAGCCCCTTCTCCCTGGAAGAGAGCCCTTTTCCTCCATCCCTGGCAATGATGTGAGGCAGTACAGGATAACCTGCAGGTCCTAGCTATGTCCCCTTCAGGCTACTGTAAAAAAATTAATCACATCTTTGTTGGAACCAGGACATAGTATCTCCTAGATTGCTTCATGAATATAAAGACTTCCATTTTTAAATGAAAATAAATTAAAATGACAGCATTTTGCCATACAGACATTTATCAGCACCTGAAAGATGTAGATATGACAATGGAACATCACTATAAAACATGTAAGAACAGCAGAAAAAACTATGCATTGAAGTAATTTTTGAAAGTTGTTATATCATCTGATAGGTCTTTTATAAAACACTACTCTTTTCCCGAAAGACTTTTTATGCATTTCTCTAGAGATTATGGTGGCCATTCACACTTTACTTCAATTTTTATAGACTCCCAGTAATTCCACAGAATAGTAAATACAGTTATTATAATCCTCATAACTGGCAAAGAGATATATTTGAAGAAATAGGGTTTGTTTCCCCTCCCACACTCATGATGTAAATCAGGAGCAATTCTGCTGCAGTTGTTAGCCTAAAACTGATACAAAACAAGAAATAAAAAATAACAGCAATGTATACAGAACACTTTCCTTGCACTAGGAGTGCAAATCATATGCCTCCTCTGTTTCTGGGCAAGGTTCTGCCATTGAGTTGCTTATACCACACTAAGTCCATCACTCTATTCACATGTGAATAAGGTCCAGGCTCACGCTGGAAACAATGGAGACACACCAGTTTACACAGGCTAAGAACCTGGCACAAAGCCTTGAAAACTAAAGGGGATTTTCAAATAAATGCAATATGTGCAATTACTTCTGGAGTATTACCTCTGAAACAGAAGCAATTTCAAAGTGCTGTAAGAGAAAAATGGAAAGATAGCAAAGGATTACAAATACAAACAAACAACCCCTCCCGACACACACACTAAATGCATTCCACTTTTCTTCTTTACAGACACACACAGACAAGGAACTCTGCTCATTTTAAGAGAGATCATGTGGCAAAATGATGACATTGAGTCACTAGAAAAGAGAAAAATCTTTTAAAACACTCTTGGGACCAGGGACTACTGTTAAGGGGAGAGCATTATTTTATCATCCTGCTAATGAGCCAGATGAAGGATTATTGTTGTTTGGTGGTGATTTATCTCAACAACTCTTTTCTCTAAAATAAATATGCCAACTCCACTAAACAAAGAGAAGAAGCGGCACCGTTCTGTTGTTTCAAATCCACGCTGAAGAATAGTTAAGCCGAGGAAAGGAACCCCAAGAAAAGTCACGAGAGAGGGCCGGCACACGCGGCTTTTACACAGGTTAAGAAAAATAGGAAAAGAAAGAGGCGGCGATCCCGGTCCCTGCATCTTCCCAGCGCGCCGGCAGCGCCCAGCAGTGTCCGGCCCCACCGCCGACCCGCGGGCAGTGACCGGGGCACCGTCAGCCTCATTCTTCTTTGGGCAGACGGGGAGAGCCCCTGCCCGGAGCCAGCGGGACTGACCCCTTCTCTAAGCGTTCCCAGGGCGGGGAGCCGCTCTCCCTCAGGCGGGGAGCGCTGACAGACAGCCGCCCGGTGCCGCGGCAGCCGCCTCAGGTGGCCGGCCCGCTCCGTCCCCAGCCGCGGCGCCGCTCCGCTCCCCGCCCCTCCGCACCGCCAAACTCACGGGTCGGGGCGCGCCGTCGGGGCAGCGGGCAGGGACAGCTCCGCGGCCGGGCCAGCGCCGCTCCGCGCCCCCGGAGCCGTGCCCGGGGCGGGGGAGACGGCGCCCGACCCTGCCCAGCCCCCGCGAAGGCGAAGCGTGCCCCGGCACTCACCAGCTGCAGCGAGCAGAGGAAGATCAGCGTGCAGCGCCCCGTGCAGCAGCCCATGGTGGCAGCCGGAGAGCCGCCGCCGCCGCTCCGCTTCTTCCCTCCCGCACTGGCGCGGCCCCGGAGGCGAGCCTGGGGCTCACCGCATCCGGACGGAGCGGCCGGGCGTGCGTGTGTCCCCCGCCTCCCGCTGCCTCGCTCCTTTGTGGAGGGGCTTCTCTCCGGCGGCGGAAGGAGCGCGGCGGGGTCGGCGCGGCCCCAGGGCTGGCAGCCGCGGCAGCGGAGCCTCTGCCCGGCTCTGGCTCTGGGGAAGGGGCAGCGGCCGGGGGTGGGCGTTCGCGGACCGGGGCGGGGTGGGCAGAGGGAGCGCGGGTGGGGAGGCGGGGGGCGCGGGTGGGCGTGCGAGGGAGGGCGGGAGCTGTGCGAGGTGTGAACGGGAGAGGAGCGGGGGCGGCGGCGGGCTTTTCTCAGGCGCCCTGCCGGGGGTCCCCGGGCGGGCAGTTTGCGGGGATTTTGGAGGCTCCGAGGGCAGGCTGTGCTTGAGGGGAACTTGCCGGGAGGGGCGGGAGGCTCTGCAGACAGCGGCAGCCCGGCGTGGGCCGCTTGTTGCGAGCGCCCGGGGAAAGTTCAAGGGACTCGGGCGGCCGAGGCGAGAGGGGCGGGGAGCGGCGGCCGCCGAGCGGCGGGGCGGGCCCGGAGCAGCCCGGAGGGCCCGGAGCACCCCGGCGGGCCCGGAGCACCCCGGCCGGCCCTTAGCAGCCCACGGCCGGGGCAGCCCGGGGGCGGTCGCGGGCCATTGTTCGCCGCCCGCGCTGTGCCGGGGTCAGAGCGGGCTCCGGGGCAGGGAAGCATCCAGGAGCCCGGTGCTGGGAGTCCCGCTGGCTGCGGCTGGGTGCCCTCCGCCAGTGGGTGCCGGGCCGTACCCAGTGAGCCTGTCCCCGTCCCGCCGCCCCGGCCGCGGGCAGCGAGTGTCTCGGGATGTTCCATCCCCTCCTTGTCCGCCCACCAGCCGTGCTGGGAGAAGGGGCTTCCCTTCCTGACAGCGCCATTGTGCCAGGAGAGCCCGCCGGCTCCTGCTGCCCCTCGCGGGTGGGAACTGAGAATGGGCTCCGGGAACGGGGATTCGGCTCCGACAGTCACCGCTCCTGGCCATGGTAAATCGCAGAGTGGTTTAGGTTGGAAAAGATCTCAGATCGTCAAGTCCAAGAGTCAATCCAGCACTGCCAAGTTCATAGCGTACAAAGAGATGGATGAACAAACAGTGCTCTCCAGGGGCCTCTCCAGGGGCAGCTGGGAGAAGCAGGATCAGTAGGGATACTGCGCTCTCTACATCTGTACCTGTCGTTTGGTCATAGACAATGATCTTCTGGGGCGGGATAATAAATCCGAATATACACACCGTCTCTTAAAAACACGGCGTGGGGATGATGTGGGGATGAAGTGTTGGCTACTTTCTTTTTTCCCCTCTCCAACAAAGTATAGATAAATTTGATTATTTTTTACAGGCATGAAGACATATTCCACTTACCAGACAGCACTTTCCTACAGCCTGTTACCAGCTGCTGTTTAACAATGCAGAGACTTCTGCCACAAAACATTGAAGCTTGCCTTGGGGGGAAAAAAAGAAAAACAAACAAACCCAAAAACAAAACACAAAACTAAAACCCTCTCTTCTACAAGGCATTTTAGTGAGTTACCTGATTACTGTGTCTGTGAAATACACAGTATTGTATCCCTCAACTACATACAGCTCTTCATTTGTATATTAAATAGTAGTGACAGTAATCAAATAACTACAAGACAACTTTAAAACAATATTGTGTCAGATTAAATTTGGAAAGCTGTGTTTTCCTACCCTTTTTTTTCACCCTTTTACATAGGAAAGCATTAAGACAGTTTTAAATACCAAACCAAAGGAGCAAAAGGAAGACAAGTAAGAAGCAGATTCTCCTCATCCAGGATGTGTATTTAACTAGGTATGTGTTTGAGGAGTGCAAAATATAACCCACATTGCACAGTATACAAAACTTTAATAAAACCACCTGAGATTTATATTTCTATGTATGGCTTTTAAGACAAAATTCTACCTGGGGCTGAAGTTTATTAAAGTTACATGTTCTGAGAACATATATGTTTGGAAGGGTGAGTTCCTAGAGATATGAAAGTAAACTGAAAGGATGATAGTTACCAAAAATACAATGTTCTAGGCTCTGTGAGCTGGTAAATTTTATGGATAAGTGGTTTTCTATAGAGAAGACTTAGAGAAGGAATCATCTTTCTGGCCTTCACTGAAGTATTTAGTAGACTACAAAATCTTTTTAGTTAAACCAAATAATACAGAGATTAATAATAAGAATGGCAGGATGGGTAAGGAACCAGATCAATGAAATGCTAAGAGCTAGTGCTGAAGAGATTTTACTTGTACTCACCATATTCAGGCCCTGCTTTTGCACCAATGGCATGAGGTCCATAACTTTCCACTATTTTTCCCCAAGAATAGTGCTCTTCTGAGAAGTAGCTAAATCTTACAGAATTAGGAGTGGGGAACATGATCATTTAGGCTGCAATAGAGTTAATTTTCTTCACAGTAGCTACAATGTGACTGTGTTCTGTATTTGCACTGACACGGGTTTGATAATTGAGGGATATTTTAGTCACCTCAGAGCAGGGTTCACAGACTCACCCCTCACCACCAACGGGGGGCCTGGGGGTGCACAAGGAGTTGGGAAGGGACACAGCTGGGACAGCTGACCCCAGCTGACCACAGGGATATTCCCTACCATAGGGCATCGTGCTCAGCATATAATGCTAGGGGAAAAAGGAAGAGGGGGGGTATTTGGGGTGATACCATTTGTCTTCTTCCCAAGTCACTGTTACACATGACAAGGCTCAGCTTTCCTGGGGATGGCTCAACACCTGTCTGCCCATGGGAAATAGTCAATGAATTCCTTGTCCTGCTTTGCTTGTATGCATGACTTTTGCTTTGCTTATTAAACTGTGTTCATCTCAACCCATGCGTTTTCTCACTTTTACTCTCTGAATCTCTCCCCTATCACATCAAGGAGGGTGGGGGAAGAATGAGTACCTGCATGAGGCTGCATTTTCAGCTGGGGTTAAAATACGACAACTGAGAGTAAGTTTCTTAGAGGTTTATGAATCTCTGACACTTTTCTCTTTGTTTTCCCAAGTCCCTGAAGCATTTAGTTATGTCCTCTAGCTGGTCAAAATTGACCCTCCACCCCCCCAAAAAAGGATACTTGTGATAAGAATTATTCCAGAGTATAAGGTTTCACAAATAAAAAAAATTCACAACAGAATGCTGTTGAGCATGACTTCCACAGGAGCACAAGGAACTAAAATAATAAAATAACTCTGTACTGTGGCTGAAAGCACTGGACAATAAGAGAAGTATGGGAGAAAGAACCTGGATCAGAAGAAGGCTAAAAATGAATTATGGCTATGAGAAAGCCTAGGATTTCTAGAACATATCAGAGAATGCAATATAAGAATAAAATCGTGTGCAAAGCAAATAGGAAGAACTGTATTTTACAGATTTTTCTATCCATGAATTTGGTATAGAAACTAATAGTGAAGTAACCATAGAAAGTAATTTCCTGCTATATAATGAAGTCAGTCCTCATTCAGCACCATGCATGCCAAGTAGGTGAAAAAATGGTCTAAATTCTAAAGAGCCCTGTGGACTCTCTTAATGCCCAACAAGACATGCTGTATGGATGCAAATTCAGTGCTCTTGAAAAGAAAGCATGTCCTCAAATGCTTTATGATATGTCCATGTACACATGGCCATACCCTCACATAAGTGAATGGTTTCCTATGCAAAAACTATAATCATAGGACATCAAAACTTGTCCTTCTTATCTGATTGCATCCCAAGCAGAAAATCCCAAGCAGCAAGGTAGTTCATATTCACATTCATAGAAATACAGCATGACAGCAATAAGAGATATTACAAGTATGAAATAGAGACTTCTAATTCCTATAGGTTTATGCCTTGTTAGATTATAATCTTCAGAATCAAAGATAGGAAAATTTTCAGGTTGAAGAACTAAAAACATCAGTAAAAGATCTCACATCCAGAGGACAAAGTGAAAATCATAGTATTTGACTGTCCTTGTAGCTCTTTAATGGTATCTACTATTTGTCTAATGAGCATTTACTTGTCTGTCTCTCCTGGAGTTTTCCTCAGCCTGCACCAAATTATCCTGTCATGGTCCTGACTTCAAGGAGGTGCATTTTGCTCACTCTGCCCATTGGACTAAAGTAATAATCACAGATGACAGCGGAAACACTTCCTTCATAGTTTGACTGTTCCATTCTTCATCATGAATATTAGAGGAAATTATTGATGAAAAAAAAGTAACTGTGTCAAAGGATAATCCTAATCCTAGAAAGATTTCTGTATTTACTGAATTTTTAACACCAAGCATAGCCTTTTATGCTGGGCAGAGATTAGGCAAATACATTTAGGATCTGCAGAATCAGAATTTAAGAACGGATTCTTGTGGCCTCAGATTTCACCTTTCACCTTTCACTTCAGCATTTGATCCAGAAAGATTGAGAATCAGAAGTTTTGTAATTGCTTTTCAAGGTTTCCCAGAAGATATGGGGATCCAAACACACCTCCATAAAGCTATCAACAGGTCACACTTCAGGCAGACTTACAGCTATGATAGCTTAGAAAAACATTCCACTGTGTATTCCCCAAGCAGCCTTGAAATACCTCAAGCAAACTAGAAACCCCATGAAATTTAATACAGCTTTAAAGACAAATGAGGGTTTCAAGATATTATCAGTGTTTTTAGTAAATCCTATTTTCAATTTATCCTTCTGAAAGCAGATACACAATATAATGATCTAATTTTTCATTTCGATGTTAACACCTGCTGCTAGGAAACTGCATTCTTCATTAAAATGCAAGTGCTTTATAGAATGAAAATATATGTTCATTGTGAATGGCTTTTTTTTTTATTATTTTAAAGAAGTGTTTTAAATGACCAGGCTCAGTGTGGGGAAGCATGGTGATGCACAGCCCCTCAGTGTTTACGCAGATCCATGGGGAAAGGCATGGGGACTGGTCAGTGTCAGAGACACAAGACATCAGCCCAGGCTGGGCTTGTGCCTGGGGAGGCAAAGCTGTGGGGAGCTGTAGATCAGCCCTGCTGCTGAGGCAATGCTGGCTCAGGCACTGATGGCCCTTCTGGGGCTGAGATGGGGTCCTGGGCTGTGGGCAGGACTGGGGGAGCCCAGGGGCTGGGCAGGAACAGGCAGGACTGGTGGTACCTCTGGGACCCTGACAGTATGAAAGCAGCTT